AAAATGCCGTGCATTTATCGAGACTTTCAATTCCAGGTAGGCCAATTATGGATCTTCGGATCCACATTATGTCAGCAGCTGTTCTCCACCGTGAACTATGTTAAAAACAAAAACCGCTCACGCCTCACAGATGACAGCTTACAGTCCTGTGTAAAGATGAAAGTGACTTCGTACAGCTCCGATCTGCAGACGCTGTGCGCAGAGGTTCAGGAGTAGAAGTCCCATTGTAAACATATCACAGCAGACCCGACGATGTTTCCATGAACATTTTTCAGCATCTCTTTATTGAACACTTTACACACACGGTTGCTGTACGTATACAGCCGGCTGTAGCTTTGCAGCTCACAGCCCGACACACACCAACACAACAGCATAGATAGCACAGACGTTAAGGCGGCGAGGCGTGATTGTGGGTGCTGCTCAGCTGCGTTGGCCTCTCCTGCAGCGGCGCTGCAGACCACGCCCCGCCTCACACATAAAATACATATTTAGGCAGAATTTTGCAAATATCTATTTTTCATCTTTTAGCAGCATAGTGTTTTTTTTCCAATTATTTTTTAAAAGTCAGGTCAAGGCTCCAAAAGCCCAAAGGCGATATAAGGGTGGCAACTCACAACAGTTGTTGTTTGCTACATGGATCATTTTATTTCAGCTGGGTGTCTTTCCTTTGGTTATATTTCTTTAAGAGTTCAAAATGTGTTAATTACATAATTAACACAATTACATAAAATTTAATTTTCTCTGTAGCACTTCATGGATTTCATAAGCAACACACCTTCGTTGTTCACACAAAGCATAAAGGTAAAAAACAATATATACAGTGTTATCTTCATTTTAGATGTCAAAAAGTATTTGCGGCTCCCAGTGTTTTCTTTTGCGTCGAAACCGGGTCCAAATGGCTCTTTGGGTGTTAAAGGTTGCAGACCCCTGGACTAGACCAAACTCACCAGTCACGCTGTGAGTTATTATCAATCCATAGATCGCAAGGAATTAATGGCACTCTTATTTGGATAAGCAAATATTCTACCCTGTTTAACACAGCATCTACAAATAAATAGCTGATAGAAGAAAAACTGTTCTAAAAATAGAATGATTTGGGGTTTTTTAACCATTTATTTAACAAAATTGCAAATAGAGAAGAAGAAAAACGTAAATGTTTTAAACCTGTTCAAAAAAAGTATAGGGTACCAAACTGTAAGTTAAATAGGTGTAAATTTTCTCCAGCGGTATTATCAAGCAAATATTTCAATGGCAATAGGTAAAATGTGTGTGTGTGTGTGTGTGTGTGCATGTTCCTGTCTAGCTATCTTTGTGAGGACCAAAATCTGCATTCTACTATACTTGTGAGAACCAACAGTCACTTGTGAGGACACACTCACCGGTCCTCACAAGTTTGAAGGCCTTTTTGTTTCTCAAAAAGGCTAGGGAAACTATTATGTAAATGAAGATCCTCACTAAGACAGCTGAACGGGCTTGCGTGTGTGTGTGTGTTATCTTATGTGATGTGTTTTCAACATTTGTCCAAGATAAATTCCGAGACAGTAAGGGTAATCTAAAAAAAAAAATGGAATGCACTTGTTTTGTCTGGATGTACTCATTTTAATGATTCATAGATTCAAAAGGGCGACAGGAAAGAAAACAACACAAAGAATACTCACAAGGGCTATAATTGTATACCATGTCCCTTTTCAACATCAGAAATTTGATCTCTGCCTTTTCTTTATTTCAGCAGAGAATAAAAACTGGCTGGGCTGAACGGTGTCGTGAGGAATTTTAATACCAGAAGTTTCACTTTATTTATTTATTTCAAGAGAAAATTTAACCCCAACTCGACGTTTGTCTGGAATGATCTGCAAATGTAAAAGACGCATTTGTAAGTTTAGCTAAATTGATTTTTTATTGATTTGGCAATTTCATTTTGGCCTAATATCAGATATTTTATCTGATATTTTATACATTAAATTCTAGTTTGATGCCAAGAATTTGTAATTTTATTTTCCTGAAACATAGTTATTAATAGCCATTTACAAAATCATAATTCAAAAGTAGATTAAAAACACTTTTTCCATCTTTAATACTTTAAACATTTATGTGAATGTGTTTGGAATTTTTTCTTAACCATATTATTTTTAAACACAAAATACCCAAAGTGACGAAAATGAAAGGCCATTAGAAGAGTTACTTTGTCCAAATGTATTTACAGTATTCAAATAACATGATAGAGCTCTTTTTTATAAGTATTAAACCCAGAACAATATAAAATTATTCCATAACAGTCCATGGAAATAGAAAATATAGTACAATATGTATAGTACAACAACTCCAGGAACTCACTCTGCAGGTGGGGGAGATATAGGAGAGGTGGAGGAAGAACTCAGCCTGGGTGTCTAT